TGCTTAACAATGTTATCCTAAGAGACTAATTGAAACCTTGATACTCTTCGTATCTACACTTCTTGACAGAAGTGTACAGTTCTTTATTTGGTAAATGCCTGGATTAATACGTTATATTTCGTATAAAGTCGAGTTTCGAGACTACCAGTAAGTCAGTTATATGAGATGTATTCACTCTATTTCGTTTAAGATGATGGAGGGCTGGTAGTAGAATTTTCCCACAATGATTCGAGTAGAACTGACGTTTCTATTAAATTTCGCATAGCCTTTCTTTCCCAAAAGTTGTTCTCATCCACGGTGGACTGCAGTTTTAACCTCACATGGGCCTTATATACACCTTGAGAGGGAGTCAGATCATGACAGTGCAGCGTGTAACTTCAACACATTAACCACTGCCACATTCCCACGAGTGCCCTTGGGTCACAGGGCAGATGTGAATTTCAAGTAAGGCCAGACATCTTTCTATATCTCATTCCTAGGCGGGATTGTCGATGAAGCAAGGTTATATTTGCTATGAAACTTGATTACATTACTTATTTTGGGTATATAAGTTGAGTTCATTACCTTAAACTTAATGGGGTGAACATATCTCATATAAATGATCTACTGGCAGTCTCGAAACTCTACCTATATACGAAAAATAAGTAATGTAATCGATTGTTCTAACAAAAATACCTTCGCTTCATCGGCAATCCCACCAAAGAATGTGATATGGGAAAAGGCCTGGCCTACTAGGCAATGTGGCCGAGTAATTAGCGTGTCGAGCTCACATGCTTCACCGTCACGCTCCGACTCCCGCTGGGGGTGTTTATATGACCTTTGAGAGGTCAAAACTGCACTCCATCTTGGTTGAGAACAACTTTTGGGAAGGCTAGGCTCCGTGATATTAAATGGAAACGTCAGCCTTACCCATATCCTTGTGAGGAAATTCTACTACCAGTCCTTCATCACTTCAAACGAAACGGGGGAATACATCTGATATTATATTATATTATTCGGACCAGCTTATGTATGTGAAATATAGGTTTGATTTGGTTTTACTTTGGGCTTGTTAGTGTGTTATTTACATCGCGTTTGAAAATGCTTTATTTCTTTTATCCAGATTGATGATCTTTACAATCACACTTTCCATACTTCACTATTTTCTTCTAATATGCTATAAATATACATCGCTCATCATCTGCCAAATGACCAGCTTCCTAGAAGATGACAAGAAACCCTGAAGTGCGTTATTTCGTTTTATTTTTATTCGTCTCAAAATATATTTATCACTGCACCTAGATACTGTAATTTTATCCCTATTTATCCTTGTGCTCATTTCCTTCTATCTTACCTTAGTTTTATACTTTTCATATGCTTTAGTCATTCAGACCTAACAATGGTCAAATTTCATCATGGTCATCCGGCGCCGGAAGTGGCCAACAGCCTAATCGGCCTTCTCATCCATCCGGTCACTCGGGTGCTTGGCCGTTGTCGAACTACCACCACCAGCACCAGTCACATCACCACCACCATAGTTACCCTCCTGGGCCTGGCCCTCATCATCATCCATCAGCTACTAGCCTTGGTGGCACCTCGACACCATGCGGAGGCGGAAGTGGCCAGCGTTTTCCAAAGGCATCTTGTCCTACAGGGCACCAGGGTCCGCCTAGCGGACTGTCAAGTGGTGTAAGCCCCTCCACTGGCTCCCCTAACTTAGGGCAAACGAATAGCTCTTCTGTGCGTAGAAGTTAATACAGTATTACAGGCGCCTTTTCAATGCACTGATTTGTGTGATTCTTCATTTTTGTATTTAATCTGCTTCGTTGGCTGTGTATGCTGTTTCTGTCTGATTGCATCAATTTTGG